TTCAAAGCCTCATCATTTAATGACTGTTTTTTACCTCCTCTCTTGAATTGTGGTAATGTTCTACGATTAGGGCAGTACCAGGTCTTTGGAGTTGCACTGATTCCCAGACATGACAAATGGAATTGGCCGATTGCACAGGCAGGGTTTGAACACTGAACAACTTCTTCCTCAGTTATCTCTCTACAGTAACACACAGCATCCGTTTGTGCCATGTTGTTGTTRTTCCTTCGCCTTGTGTACCATCTACCCAGTACTTCTGGTAGCACACCAATCCTCCAGAATGTCTCAAGTTTTGGCAAAACTTCATTCCAGTGCTTTATGTCTGGTGTAATTCTTTGACCTACAAGTCCCATTTCATTATTGTGTCCAACTGCACACACAACAAAGTCACAGTACTTCAACTTTGTTGTGAATAACTGTTGCTGTACTTGGTAATAGTATTGGTGTTTTCTAAGTAATTCAAATTGATTGTTGTTATTCTTCTTTAGACATGAGGATGGTTGTTTAACATAAGTATCAAAATCAAATTCTCTATGCAGAGGGGGCACTTGACTTCCCCACACCCTTCCCTACAGCAATCACAAGAGCATAAGAAGTCAGGGGTTGCATGCAGCCAGGGATAATCCTCATTTATGAATGTACCACATTGTTCGATTTYATAATTAACGTGCTTAGTTTTCATGAGCTCTTCGTATGCATGTATTGCCCCTGCTTCATGTCTACATCCATGAGCTACTGCTTCATTTGTAAATTTGTTAAGTTCTGAATAGCAAATTCCTTGTATTAATGACTGTGCAGGGAGTGATGGGTCAGTAGAGGCAGCAGCTTTACTTTTGGAGGCACCGATTCTACCTGCTCTGTGTTTATAGAAGTTGTTGCCTTTCGCTTGGTTTACTGTGTCTTTTTGGACTTGATCGAGCTGTTCTTTGGTAATTTCAATCTTGATGTTTTGGCATACTTTAACTAAGTCATTATAAGGCAAATTCAGGTATTTCTCATCAAAAAGATCCATCACTGTGGGTATTTTGCGGCTTGGTAGAACGTAGTTTTCGGCATAAGGAGAAACCAGGGAGAGTATAACTGGCTTCGATTGACATTCACTGAGTTCTTGATACAACTTTGCCATTTCCGATTCACTCGGCACAGGAACTTCAAACTTACAGTCGAGTTTTTCACTCGAGTTTGTTTTGKCTTCAGATAGTTCAGGTAATCTATCTATGCTCTCATCGAGGTCGGCTTTAATTTTCTTTGATTATTTAAAGTTAATATCGCTGACTCTAGCATACTCAACATCGTTCGCGAAGCTTGGTATGATCCACGAATACTTCATTTGAGTGCAAGAAAGCTTCCCGTTTACCTTCGTCCAAGCCTCAAGGTAAAATAGCACACTTGCAACATGGGAGCAAGAYTCAGCTAATCCCGCCTTACATCCTRAACAGTGAGCACAGTTTATAGTTCCATCATTTTCTGTGATGATCCATATTGAAATCAATGGGTCATTCATTCGCTGGGAATGTCGCACCTTGGCTAACACAACAAACTTGTCTGCAATTTTGTGTCCCTGTACGTTGGTTATGAATCTCGATATCATTTGATTATACGCTTCGAGACTCCTGAAAGCTTTAAATTGCTTCTGAGTATAGAAACTAGTTTCCAAAACTAGGTARCAAAGTAAATCAGTTGATTCGACTGGAGGTAGGCAGTCCGGCTCCACACGTTTTCCTTCCAACAAGACAGGATCGATTCCAATCGTCGCTATTTTCTCCATGTAGCGCAGTAGCTTTTAGCATATCGTGAAAGAGGAACAGATAATTTTTCATCATTTTCAGTTGAAGAAATAGAGGAATCTTGATAAGAACTCATTTTAAATTTAGCTGTCAAAGGACTTTGTTTACATAATTTGCATATGCTACACGTGGGTAGATGTGCGCCAACATGGCGGCCGATTATCTCGKGACGTCACATGAATACGATCTATATGTTGAACAAGCAATCAGGTGACTGAAAACATTTAGATTGATAAAGCATGAACTGCCAATATCATTACTTAGTAACATAGATGACATTGTACTTATTTGTGCAGCATTATGCAATCTGTATAAACCCTTAGCAAAAGTCCTACTGTCAATTGATTAGTTGTCTATGGATTGAGTTCTTAAAATGAACCCATAATACTGTAAGCACCACAAAGTTTTATATAATATACTGCTGTTATGTATATTTGCTATTGAAGCAAGAACACTAATTAATTGTAGGAAGTACTTATTTATTAACTACTGTATTACCGAAATGTTTGTGATGGAATGTTAGAATATTAACATGTTAAAAACATGGCCGGGCTATTACAATTATCAAAAAATATTAATATTGCGCACGAATCACTGTAATAATAATCTTTGCTATTGTTTTGTTCCAATGTAAATGTATACACAGAATACTTCAATCACTGAATTGCCTTCTTAATATATTTCTGTAAACTTTGTAAACCATTAGAGTATAAAATATAATAGTATGAAATATTTTTTTGTTACATAGTGCAGAATAACACTTTTCAAACAATAGCAAACATGATTATTTCAGTCTAATTTAAGATACCTTGTTTTTACAAGTGATTTGATGTGTTTGTTCATTCACTCAAATAATTGTCATAGAACCATATGATGTTTTGTTCAATTTTGTTCCAGTACACAGGATTGAATAATATTGTTTCCAGGTGTTGACCTTTTGGGTATAAGCAAGGAAATGTCAGCACTTTCTACCTGTAACTGCAAGCTGTCCTTGTACTTGTGCAGTAGTGGTGGTTTTCCTTTAAAGTGACCTTGCAGTTGTTGCTTTCTAAATACATCACGTTGTCTGGTGATGGCACTTCATWAACAATTGAATAAGGGCACTTGACTTCTAAAACTCCTTTGCCACAACAGGAGCATTCAATCAACAAATCTGGTGATGCATCAATGAATTGTTCTTTTTCATAAATGAAAAGTCCAAACTCTCTGAATTTAGCTTCTCTGTGTTCTTTTTTAAAAAGTTTGACATATTTATTTTTTGCTATATGTTCCATGTTTCTGCCATATTTCAAGGCTGGTAAGTTTTCTGATGGCGCTGAAACACCCTTAAGTACCTCCACTAAGTTATTGGCATCACCTCCTTTTGTTTTGAGAGTTTTAAAGGGCAACCTCCATGGCCTTGACCAATTTTCAAAATTAGTCCGTTTGAATAGTATATGGTGTGAATAAACTAGTTCTGAAATTAAATTTGTTGTTTTCCAATCCGTAAATGCTTTATTTTCCCTTCAAAGTTGGATATTTTGTTCGAATTTTTGCCGCTCAATCAAAACATGTGACGTCATTATGTGACGTCACGGGGTCCTTCGTCGATTTTCGCGCGTTTTGAGATGTAACTTCATGGCGGACGAGTCATCAAATTCGTCAGTTTCAACAAGCAGTTCTTGCTCAGGAAGCAGTTCTGAGGCTATATTAGACTTCGAAAGTTCGGATGGTGAAATTAAGCCTTACATGTTTGAGCCAGATGCCTCTGATCAGTCTGATTCTCAAGAAAACTCATCAAATTCTGAGGATGATGTGAATGAGAATCGAACTACAAACAATGATTGGTGTCATGTGTCATTGCRGTTTTTGTCAAAGACAAGATACGGTGAGAGAGTGTGTTTGCTGCCAGGAGCTGGGAAATGTGGTGGATAGGAACAGGATGTCGTCGAGGAAACGAAATTTAAGCAAAATACCGGAGTGCATCACATCAAATCCAGGTTTTGTGTCGGTGTGTTCTGACCCAGATGTTCTAGAGACGGCCTGGTTTGCCTAYAAACAGCAATACGCTGAAGCTATAGATGATCAGGTGTCAGAGCACAAGCGGCTTCGACACATTGCCTACAGACAATTTGTACGATGGTGCTGGGGCTGGTTGGGTAGACATATTAGAGTGGTTTTGCYATCGTGTGTCGTTTCGTGTATAAGAGCCCATTTCCCGCCTCCTGGCTTAGAAGAGGACTTTCACTTTGAAGGATTTCATGACTCTTGACTGTTTATTTCCCGGTTAATTTTGACGTGGCTTTTTGTTCGTCTGAAACACATGAGAATGATTTTACTCAGTGATATGGTTGCTCACRATTGTAAGTATCAAATTAATTACTTGACTCAGAAGTTGTATTGAATAAATGCTTTCAGTGAAATTTTGTAAAGTTGTTGATTTAAGCTTGATTTTGTATACCTCATTTTTTTGAAAATCGTGAACTGTGTTCATCTACTGCCTCTAGTTTRATGGGGTGGCTATAAGTATGACAAAGAGGTGGAGGTGGAGTGATATGAAGTACTTGATCCTCTYGTTCTCTTCCAAGGACATCATACAATTCATTGTAGAGTTTATCAACATATTCTGTAAATGGAATTAACTTTTTTTTAATTAAAACAAAATGTTATAATCCTCTTATTAAAAAAACATATTTGCATTGATCAACAAAATCATGTAGATATGGAAGAAATATACAATTAAATATTAGTGTTTACCATATCTGYATTCAACCAACTCTTTACGCACTGTGTATTCCCCTTTCTTATACTTTGGAAAATGTATGCTATACTTAAGTTGTCCTTCTTTGGTCAAAGCTTGTTCGCGGTTATTGTTTTCATTAAAATGTAGAGCTGCTAACTGTAACCTATCAATTTTACAAAAGATAAATATTTCATTTCATTTGATTGCAGATATATATTTTAGATATTGGTACAATACCTGCATTTCATTGASTTATAAGAAAAGTGCACCATTTTAGGTGCAAAATGGTTTAAGAGACTGTGGAACCCTTCAATGGCAGATGTTTGGCCATAAGGTGACAATTTTTTAATGTCATTCCTTAACCTTGTCTTTTCAAGGATATCTGTGAGACTCACTGTGACTTCAACTCCTGAAATTATACATCTAGCTATAGATAAATATGCAAACAATGCTTTTCATCGCTTTTCAGAGTCATTAAAATGATTGATTAACAATATAATTGATTACAGTGTGCATCATAAACTATACACATAATGTACACCTGGTTTGAACCACTTTCTCTTGACCTTTGGATGAGTGCACTTTCTGTAAAGCTTATTGGGATGTCTTGCATGCCTATTTTGTAAGTGCCCAGCCAATGACTCCCACTTCGCTAAAGCTAGATCTCCATCATCACCATTACTATGAAAATGACAATTTTGTTTCTCATATTTTACTAGTACTAATTTCATTTATGATTAATTTATTTCTAAAATAAATAATAATTAGAATTATATCAATATTATACATTTGCATTGTATATTGGAAATGCAATTGAAATTCATGTAATATAAAAGATTTGTAACTGAACTAKCTATCTACATGTCAATAATATTGACATCATATGAGTTTTTACCTTGAATCAGCAACCCAATACAAATGATTGGTTATGCTTTTAATCCATACATGAACTAGCTCGTTTCCTTTTTTATTTCCAAGCACAGTCAGTTTTTTCTTGAGTCCTATGTAAATCATAACTTAATTTTTAACTGAATACAGGAAATATAAAAATAAATTATATATGTTACCTTTAGCCACATGCCAAACATCAAAGAAATGCTTAATTGTAGCCCAGTTTTCTCTTATATATTTTGCAATCATAAGGTGTCTGTCTGTTACCAACACATGTACTTTTATTTTCAATTTCTTCAATTTTTCCAGTGATCTTTTTATGCCTTCACATTCCATATGATTTGAGCTAGCAACCTCATTACTCTAAAATCAACACAATATATATTAAATGTATTGCGATATTCTTGTAATTAAT